GCATTAGCAAAATCAAAACCCCGCCTCCCTGACTCCCAAGTTTCCGGTCCAGTCCCCAACTCTTTTCACGGAGGATGTAGGATCCGAGCATGCAGGAATCTCAATCCCTCCCGTCACGGATCATTGGCGTTGTTTCCCACAAAGCAGCCCTTGTTCCCTGCAGACTCGCTGGCTGAATTCTTTCTAGTTTCACGACAGCCGCTGCTATCACTCAGCAGCACTAATGACTCAAGCAGCTGCTGGCAGGAGCCTCAATACTCAGCTGCCTCGTAAAGGTGGGCCTTTCCCAATGAAGCAAAATAGTTACGGCAACCTTGGGGCTTCTGGGCAGCGACCATTTAAGACAGGACGTGGCTATTGATGGCTCCTTTCCTGTGGCTTTTACGGGAGGTGACAAGCTCATTTAAACAGTGGCGCAAACACGGGCCTTTATGGGACCCAAGCTAATGCTTCCCTGCTGCTGTGCTCCGAGCGTGGACGTGAGAAGCTCTGTGACTCCGTGTCTTCATCCCAACCTGAGCCCCACGTGGCTTGTACTGACGCAAGTCGACTTTCTGGAGCCCTACCCCACAGGTGCCTGAAATACCAAACCTATTCAGTCTTGGCCATGCAGGAAACTAAGGCCTGTTCCCCCCAAGAGTGCTACTGACACAGCTCAGAGAGGAAGAATTCAGGAGCTGCCTGTGAAGACACGCCGCATGCACTGTGCCCCTCTGAATGAGCACCCCTCGGTGACTCAAACCCCCTTAATGCCCCCGGGAGAGGGGGCTACAAGACTATCCCCATTCCGGTACGTACAGGCTGGTTCACCCAAGACGGTCAAGTGAGGCCTTCAATGAAAGCCTGTCTAGACTGGTCTTCAGTATTGTTGTGCACGAAGCGTTCAGACGCTAGACAAGGGGTTATGTTACCATACTGAAAATACAGCGGCCAAGTCAAGGCAGAAGTGAAAAATACACTTCCCCCCAGACAGGAGTAAGAAGCGTGTGTGTGTCGCTGTCCAGATATAAATGAAGCATCATAAATTAACATGATGGGCGGCCATTCACCTAGAAAGTCATGTGTTAATGAAGAGATGTTAAGCCGACAGTGCAGCAGCATACGAGAAAACCAAGCCAGAGGTGGCCATCCTGTCTCTGAGCACAGACAAGGAACTTTGGCGGTGTGTGAGGGTGCAGAGAAGGCACCCCCTCTCCGTGGGCCTAGCAATGAAATGGGCAGTGTGTTTGCAGAGGTGGGAGCTGAGCTAACCTTGGCTGAAAACGAGAGATTTCCTCAGACAGGGGGTTAACTGGAGAGTTGAGTTAGTCTCTAAAAAGCGCTGTGCTAGGATTTTGTTTTACATGTAGCCAGTTTGTTTCCAATTAAGAATGTGACTAGTTAACTGGTTAACCGGTAAGCCTCACCCTTAACTGGGCTTACCAGTTCCAGTTCACCAACAGGGGCTGGAGCCCCTCCCATTCCACCGCAGACAGGGGGGCTGCTCCAGCCCCTCCACCCTTCCCCCCCTTTAATCGGTTAACTGGTCAAACAGCCCATTGAATGGGTTAGCTATAATTTTGCAGCCCTGTCACGTTACTGAATTTGAGGGGAGCAGCCAGATCACTGCTGCACCCATAGGTGGGGGTGTTGGCCCCAAAAAAGGTATAAAAGGGGCCATGTGGGGTGTTGAATAAAAGTTCACTGTCTGCTAATCCTATGTACGCTAGTCATGTGATTGTATAATGTCTGTGTGTGTAGTTAGGAATCTGTAATCTGTGTAGATACTGAGTATTTCTCTGCATGTGGTTGAGCATTGGGCAGAGCCCGGCCTATGGACATGCTAATCAGC